TTTATGTCCTCACTCAACTTAGTCTCTGTAATTGCTACTATATCTGCCTTACTGTTGTGAATTCTATCTTTAAATTCTACTGCCTTACCAGCTAATCCATCAGTATTTGTGTATAACAATCTTAATGAGGCCCCATCCCCTGATCTTCTGTCATTATTATCTTTATCTCCCCTTTGTCTGAAAGAACTCTGAAATGAAAATTTTTCTTCTCTTTAACCTTCTTGCCTCTTCCAAGAAGTTTTTGATCTTTCCCATCTCTTCCTGTGTTCTGTATCGTCTAATGAACACTTCTTTGAATTCTTGAAGGTCTTTTAGACTTTTTTTTCTCAACAATATATCCCTACAAGTTTCCCCTCTCTCAAAGGTTACTTTTGTTGGTCTCGGCTTTCCTTCCCTCGAATATTTGCCTAGTTGGTGAATGTTTACAATATCGTCAGGGCCACAAACTATTCCAAGCTTTCTTATCAGGTCTACAACCCTAGCTTTATTTTCTTCAGGACTCCACTGCCATGTTAGCTCCTGGGATTCGCTTATGCCTGAGATTACCACTGTCTTCTCTTTATCAAGTGCCTGTTTAATCAGTGGATTTGCCCTTTCCATCACAATGTCTTTCATTTTTTCGATTACTGTCTCTTTATAGTCAACTGTTTGTATGTTTTCCAGTGCCACCACCTTTACAGCCTCTTTTACTGCCACATTCCCCTTTAGTGATCAGCAAAGGAAGTTTTCGTGGCATCATGTTCCATATTCAGCTCCTGGAACTTTTCTAAACTGTTCAATGTTTTCCTTAATCTGGACATTTCAAGCGGCAATCTCGTCTCTTTAAGAAGACAGCAGTGAACTAACATCTAATTCATTTAGGTTGTCATTCAGCTGTTTGTTTTTATCTTCTTGTTTGGAAATTCTGGTTTCTAGTTCACTCTTTTCCCCTTCCAGCTTCTTTATTCGTTTTTCTTGTTCCTTTATCTCCTGCCCTTGTGCTTTATTTGCTTCCTCCAAAAATCTTACTTCCTCTCTGAGTGTATCATTCTCTTTCATTTCTCTATCCATATTCCGAATTTTATCATCAAGGCTTATAACCATTGCCTCTAAATCCTTGATTTTGTTTTAGTCTCCTAATAGCTACCCCTTCTCCCGACCCATGGGTGGGAGAGGTTTGGGACAGAGATGGCCTCATTTTTATGTTTTCCCTTTCACAGAATATAGAAAGAAGAAGACAAAAAGAGAAAAAAAGAGGGAAAAACTTTTATTTAAGCTTCACACAGAATTTTTATATCTTCATATAAGTGCTATTTAGTGACTCAATTTATCTCTTTTCTGGTAACACACATCTTAACTTAAAAATTTGACTATGGTAATTTGAGGATAAAAAGAAAGAGAAAAAATGCAACGAAAACAAAAGTCAACTTGAAGGAAAATTCGAATTTGCGTCTGAGGAGACACCCACCTGTTTCTGCTATATATTCTTCTTAACTGATACACTCACTTGCTAACCAAGGTATGTTATCACAGGATCAGACTTTACATTTAACTCGATATATATACAAAATAAAAAAAAATAGTAAAAGAGAAAGCTAAAAGAAAAGAAAAAAAAATGAAGAAAATAAGACAGCTGTGGTACTTGGCAACTTAACTCAGTACTGTTGACAGGTGTATTTTTGGTATTTATTTAATTATTCAATTATTTCGTGTATCAAACTAACTATCAAATTAATATAAATGGGAAGGATACTGATTTTAACAATATATGGAACCACAGGATCAGGTAAACGGCTTAAGAGCTCTCCCCAATTTACACATAACATTAGGTAATGTGATGTGATGGCTTTACCTCTGGCAACTCTTCTAAATTTCCTTCAAAGCAGAATAGGACAGCTTCTTCTCCTTCCCCTCACAAAAATGTTCTCAATTTTTTCCTTTAATATTTTGGACAGTCTCGTCATACAACAAATATAAGTTTTTTACTCACAATACTCTGCAGGTTTTCTTATTTATTGAAATTATGTATAAGTTTTGCACTAAAGTCTTAGTCACTCAAAAACACAAGGAAAAGTTTAAGAGATACTGAATACTTGTGTACTATTTCCACGCGAGGGTGTGTGTGTGTGTGTGTGTGTGTGCGAGTGTGTGTGTGATTACTTAATTGTGATTACCTAATTGTGTTTACGGGAAAGAGCCCAAAGCTCGTATCTTCCCGTCTCCTGATCGGTTCCATTTTATACTTAGTGATACTTATCATACCTGTCCTTAAAACTATGGATTGAGATAGCATTAACTACCTCTTCGCTTAGCGAATTCCAATTATCAACTACTCTTACACTGAAAAAGTATTTCCTTACATCCTGCGAAGAAGTTTTCTTACAAAGCTTCAAACTATGACCTCTAGTTCTAGAGCCAGCCATATCAAAATATCGATCCCTATCCACTCTATCATAACCATGAAGGAATTTAAAGACTGTCACCATATCCCCCCTTACTCTTCTAGCTTCGAGTGATGGTAAGTCTAATTCCCTCAGCCTCTCATCGTAACTGAGATTGCGTGTGTGTGTGATTACCTAATTGTGATTACCTAATTGTGTTTACGGGAAAGAGCCCAAAGCTCGTATCTTCCCGTCTCCTCATCGGTTCCATTTTATACTTAGTGATACTTATCATACCTGTCCTTAAAACTATGGATTGAGATAGCATTAACTACCTCCTCGCTTAGCGAATTCCAATTATCAACTACTCTTACACTGAAAAAGTATTTCCTTACGTCCTGCGAAGAAGTTTTCTTACGAAGCTTCAAACTATGACCTCTAGTTCTAGAGCCAGCCATATCAAAATATCGATCCCTATCCACTCTATCATAACCATGAAGGAATTTAAAGACTGTCACCATATCCCCCCTTACTCTTCTAGCTTCGAGTGATGGTAAGTCTAATTCCCTCAGCCTCTCATCATAACTGAGATTGCGTATTTCTGGCACCAGTTTCGTGGCATGTCTTTGAACTTTTTCAAGCTTAGCTATGTGCTTTTTCAAGTGCGGATTCCAAAAGGGGGCTGCATATTCGAGTTTTGGCCTCACATAGGTTACATAAATATTTCTGAACATTTCCTTGTCCATGTGCCTGAAGGCTACCCTTACATTTGATAAGAATGCATATGCTGCCCTTACTATGCCATTTATATGTATTTCTGGAGACAAATCTGCCAGTATGTTTACTCCTAGATCTCTCTCATTTTCTGTCTCTTGAAGTTGTACTCCAGCCACCGAGTAGTCAAGCTTGGGCCTTCTTGCACTTGTACCCATTCTCATTACCTTACATTTTGAAGTATTGAATTTCATTAGCCACTTTTCTGACCACTCATGCAGATTATTTAGATCCTCCTGAAGTTCTCTACCATTGTTCTCGTTTTTTACTTTCTTCACAATCTTTGCATCATCTGCAAACATATTCATGAATGAATTTACAGACTCTGGTAGGTCATTTACATATACAAGGAACAAAAGTGGCCCTAAAACTGAACCCTGTGGAACTCCACTACTAACTCTTCTCCATTCAGACACTGAGTGTCTTACTCTAACCCTCTGTTCCCTTCCTTCTAAGTAAGTTTTTATCCATTCCAAAACATTTCCACCTATTCTAGCCATTGATTGCAGCTTCCTAATAAGTCTCCCATGTGGAACAGTGTCAAACGCTTTCTGGAAGTCTAGGAATATGCAATCTGCCCAGCCCTCTCTTTCCTGTAAGATTTGGCTTACCTCATCATAAAATTCTAATAAGTTTGTTACTGTTGATCTACCTTCTCTGAAGCCATGTTGCCTCACTGACAAAAAGTTGAAGGATTCCAAGTGAAGAGAGATATGTTTCCTTAGTAGTTTCTCCATAACTTTGTGTGTGTGTGATTACCTAATTGTGATTACCTAATTGTGTTTACGGGAAAGAGCCCAAAGCTCGTATCTTCCCGTCTCCTCATCGGTTCCATTTTAGACTTAGTGATACTTATCGTACCTGTCCTTAAAACTATGGATTGAGATAGCATTAACTACCTCCTCGCTTAGCGAATTCCAATTATCAACTACTCTTACACTGAAAAAGTATTTCCTTACATCCTGCAAAGAAGTTTTCTTACGAAGCTTCAAACTATGACCTCTAGTTCTAGAGCCAGCCATATCGAAATATCGATCCCTATCCACTCTATCATAACCATGAAGGAATTTAAAGACTGTCACCATATCCCCCCTTACTCTTCTAGCTTCGAGTGATGGCAAGTCTAATTCCCTCAGCCTTTCATCATAACCGAGATTGCGTATTTCTGGCACCAGTTTCGTGGCATGTCTTTGAACTTTTTCAAGCTTAGCTATGTGCTTTTTCAAGTGCGGATTCCAAAAGGGGGCTGCATATTCCAGTTTTGGCCTCACATAGGTTACATAAATATTTCTGGACATTTCCTTGTCCATGTACCTGAAGGCTACCCTTACATTTGATAAGAATGCATATGCTGCCCTTACTACGCCATTTATATGTATATCTGGAGACAAATCTGCCAGTATGTTTACTCCTAGATCTCTCTCATTTTCTGTCTCTTGAAGTTGTACTCCAGCCACCGAGTAGTCAAGCTTGGGCCTTCTTGCACTTGTACCCATTCTCATTACCTTACATTTTGAGGTATTGAATTTCATTAGCCACTTTTCTGACCACTCATGCAGATTATTTAGATCCTCCTGAAGTTCTCTACCATTGTTCTCGTTTTTTACTTTCTTCACAATCTTTGCATCATCTGCAAACATATTCATGAATGAATTTACAGACTCTGGTAGGTCATTTACATATACAAGGAACAAAAGTGGCCCTAAAACTGAACCCTGTGGAACTCCACTACTGTGTGTGTGTGTGTGTGTGTGTGTGTGTGTGTGTGTGTGTGTGTGAGCAAAAACTGCTTGCGTATTCTTTTATACTTTTGTGATAAGGTGCGATATCCAATGGTACAGAAATTACGAAGGAACCCTGACTGTGTACCTCGTGGTGTAATGATTAGCACATTCGGCTCAATACCGAGGTATCTCTGGTTTCAAACCCTGGGCGAGGAAGAAACACTTGAGCACGTTTCTTTGATCCTAACTGTCTCTGTTCACCAAACAATATAACTAGGTACCTGATGTTCAGTCCATCGTTGTGGGTCGCTGTTCAAGGATGGTACTGCTTCAAGGCTGCTCTAAAACGCCCAAAACAGAACACTGCCTGGACCAAATGCAATTTTTTACTAAGTTAAAGGTACGTTTTGCTCGATGCGACTATCGCTCAACGATGATCGTTCATGGCTCAACGATGATCGTCAAACTATTGTCTAGAGCACTCATTCTTTGTTTTTGAATGGGGCTGTTTTGCTTTAAGTGACTGCCGCTGCAGTCGCTCGAAGGAAAACAGCCCCATTCAAAAACAAAGAATGAGTGCTCTAGACAATCGTTTGTTGATCATCGTTGAGCCATGAACGATCATCGTTGAGCGATAACCACACGGACCGAAAAGTATATTAAAAATTATTACTCTTTAAGGACAGAAACGTGTATTTGCATGAGTTTTTGTGTGCCAGCGTAAACACCTCTTACGTGACAGAGTACGCTGAACGGTTGGTAATGACATAACAAAAAGATTTTCGATTTGGACTAAAATTAGTTCTTCAATCTCTTTTAAGAACTGCTATATGTATTTCCATGGCTTGTGTGTGTGTGTGTGTGTGTGTGTGTGTGTGTGTGTGTGTGTGTGTGTGTGTGTGTGTGTGTGTGTGTGTGTGTGTGTGGTTGGGTGAGTGAAAAAAAAACCTTCTTATGTGACAAGGAACGCAAAACAAATGTTAATGGCACCCCTGATCTAAGACCGGATACACGTACTTATCCGAATGCAGAGGCGTGTTGGCGAGCAAGAATACGAGTTTACCTACGTAAATGATATCTTTAAGTGCCTTTTTGTATCCTCAACTTTTTTTAAGCTGACCTTCAAAGTGGAGCTGCATTACTTTGCATCAAGTGGATACACAACTTCTTCTGGAACGAATTTTGTTGTTTTAAGGATAAAACCAGTTTCAAGGTCAACCTTGAGATTTGATCAGTTGGTCAATATTTACTAAACTGTCAGTATCTATGTTTTAGTGCACACCTCCACAGCCCCCTCCGGCAAAGCCCCTCCCTTTAAGTGGAGGAGTAGGGTGGAGGAACAGAGGAAAAAAGAATAAGAAAAAAGAGGAAGAGAAGAAAAAGGATAATAATAATAATAATAATAATAATAATAATAATAATTATAATAACAATAATAATTAATAATAATAATACTAATACTAATAATAATAATAATAATAATAATAATAATAATAATAATAAGATGAAAAAGAAAGGTAGGAGGATGAGAATGGAAGAAGAAGAAGAAGAAGAAGAAGAAGAAGAAGAAGAAGAACATAAATACATATAAAAGGCTGTTCTAAAACACGTCGTTCAAATACGAATCCATTGATAGATATAATGTCTTTGTTTGATATTTTCATTTTCTTAACAACGATGATTCAAAAGTTTTGAACTGAGGACTATAAATTCTCATATATATGATTCATTTTTCCCAGAATGATATCTCTCTCTCTCTCTCTCTCTGCACAAGTTGATATGACCTTTCAGCTCTTTGAAATCACTGTCGGGAATGGTACTCTTCGATTGTGCAATGTCTACTCTGCCCCAGGTGTGATTAATCTACCAGCCCTTCCAATACCTACAAACAGTGGAATGATCTATATGGGGGATTTTAACGCCAGACACCCCGCCCTTGGTGACTCATCTCCCACTCCCAATCGCGGTGGCAAGCCTCTGCTCGACTACATCCGCCGCTACCGCCTCACTCGCTGGGATACTGGTGGTGCCACACATGCTCGTGGGGGTACTGTAGATCACATTCTCACAGCTGGCCTTGTGGTACCTAATGTCTCCTGCTCTTCTATCCCTTCTCTCTTTTCTGACCATGTTGCCCTTAGCCTGAAATACTCCATACTTCAGACTCCAGCTACCCTCTCCCATCACCGCACCCGCATCTCTATCCCTCCCAAATACTGCCCCACTTATATTTCCTTTATCTCTCACCTCCTTCCCACTTTTGATCTCCTTTCTCCAGACAGCTTATACAACTCACTGGTGGATTCTACACATGACTTCTACACGCATTATGTTCTCAGACCACACGTTCCACGTCGCCCTGAGGCCCATTCCTGGACTCTGGATCAGCGTATTGCCCAGGCGGAAAGGACAGCTGTGGATGCTGGACTCTCCTTTCAAAGACAGCCCACCCCTGACCACCTGCACCAATATCAGTTGGCGAGGGATGATCTGGTTGCCCTGCAGAAGTGCGTGCACACGGAGTATTGGCAGAAATTTACGGATAGTATTAACCATCAGACTAGCGCTGGGACTATGTGGCATCTTATAAGGAAGGCTGTCAAGAAGAAACCCACCTGTGCTTTACACCATAGTCCACTTGAGTATGCTCAGGACCTCATTACTACCTGGTCAGCACAGTCACAAACTTGCAACCTTCCCGGGAACGTTCAAGAGGCACTCTCCACCCACCGCAGTGTTCATAACCTCCGCCTAATGGGTGCATTACTACAGACGGATGAAGAGGATGACTTCCTATTCACAGAGGATGAACTACGACGTGCTCTTGCTAGGATTAAGGCTACTGCCCCTTGGGAGGATGGTCTTACATATCAAGTTCTCCGTCTTCTTCAGAAAGTTCCTGGTAACCCCCTACTGCAGCTCTTCAATCTTTGCTTTTGCTTGGGGCATGTGCCCTCTGCCTGGACCAGAAGCACTATTATTCCTCTACCAAAACCTGGAACCGACAAATTTAGGCCTATCTCCCTCACCTCCTGCTTCAGCAAAGTGTTTGAACGCATCCTTCTTGCCCGGCTCATGCACCGTCTACAGGATAAACTCTCCCCCAGTCTTTATGGTTTCCTACCACAAAGGAGCACACATCACTGCCTCGCTGAACTCTACACCCGTCTTTCTCCCACCAGTGTGGTCGCCTTCCTGGACCTCAAATCTGCCTTCGATATAGCCAACAGGGAAATTATTCTTGACCAGCTGGTGGACTTTGGAGTTCGGGGGAACATACTGAAATGGATACGGGGATATCTCTGCAACAGAACATCAAGTGTCCTTTTTAAAGGGTCGTATAGCTCCTATGAACGGTTTGAACTGGGTACTCCTCAGGGGGGTGTGCTAAGTCCTTTTCTATTCAATATCCTTATGCATCGTCTACTCTCCCTCCTTCCTGTCATCCCCAGTACTACAGTTACCTGCTATGCGGACGACATATGCATCCACACGACCTCAACTCACGACCTGCAGCACATGCTCCATGATTTTTACGTGTCTGCTACCTCCTGTGGCCTTATTATCTCCCCAGAAAAAAGCAGGATTTTTACTTCACGCAACTGCAGAGCTCTGCCCGCATTCGCCATGGGTGGTAATGTCATCCCTCACTGCACACAGTACACGTATTTAGGTGCACCAGTCCGGATCACCCCAGCTATACCTGCACGTCAACGAATTCATCCCTTTGTGAAGAGCCTTCTTGACCGTCTGGAGCCCCGCTTTGCACCTGTCAAGTGGCTTGCCAACAATGCTCCAGGAGTCTCCATCCCAGTGGCGAGGACCCTCTACATCCTACTACTTCGGTCAGTGGTTGACTATCTGTCTCCTGCCTTGTGTCAACTTCCTAGACCAGCTCTCGAGCCACTTGAAAAGTTCCAGAATCGAGTCATGAGATTTATCTTGGGATGTTCTCTCTCTACCCGTATTGTGAGTATGCAGTTGGAGCTCACCTTGCCCCCTCTTGTGGAGAGGATTTATGCCAATGTGTCCTATTTTACTGTTAAGTGTCTTCACTACCCCTTTCTTGCTCCGTACTTCTCTGCTGTCATGAGGATGTCCCTGGATCCAGACGCACCCAGGCTCCCACTTCGAGCAGGAGGTCATAACCTTATCAGGGTGGTGAGTGACATTCTCCGTGGCCTTGACATCGACTGCCAGTGCAGGCGGCTGTCCCAGATTTACCACCCTGGCGTGTCCCCCTCCCCGCTGTCACATATACACCGACCTCGAAGGATGTCTATCCCCCCTTGCAGAGACAGTTAGCTCTGGAGACTATCGCTGATGTGTCCACGTCTGTCCCTGCAGCACACCACGTCTATGTTGATGGTTCTGTGCAAGCAGATGGGAGGGCGGCATGTGCTGTGTTTTCCCCCACCATGGAGCCGCCTGTGCTGGCTGATTCATGGATTGGCCGTAGACTACCCACCTCGTCGAGCTCCACCTACTGTGAACTGAATGCCATCTTGGATGCCGTGACTCTCCTTGTTCGACGACGAGTGAATGGGGTAATAATTTGTGACTCCCAATCGGCCCTACAAGCCCTATCCTCGCCAAGACCCATCTGTGGCCGTGCTGTGGGAGATATACTATGTCACCTCGCGGCCGCTCGGGATGCTTCTCTTGTTGTGTCGTTTGTATGGACGCCATCTCACATTGGGCTGACTGGCAACGACACAGCGGATCGTCTTGCCAAGGCGGCCTGTATGCTGGATGGGCATGCTGTGGACGCTGAGCCCTCCCTCCGATGCCTACGTAACATCATCTACTCAGCTGGGTTTGCCATGACGGTCCAGCGCAGGGACACGGAGAGGGCCAACAGTGTGTCCATACAGCACCATGATCACTTTCTTCACAGTCGCTACAAGTATCGCAGACGCGGGTTAATGGTGCGGAAAAAATATGTAGTTAGTGCTCGGCTCAGAATGGGGTATCGGCCTTTATGGCAGGTCTCCCAGACTCTAGATATGCCACAGTACACCTCCTGTAAATTATGCGACCGTCCTAATGCTAACACTCTTGACCACTATTGTCTTCAGTGCCCCACAGTGAGAGATGTTTTACCACGAGGTCAGAACTTAATACAGATCTGCTCATTTTTACTTAATGATGACAACCTTGATGTTATTCTTGCTCGTTATCCTCACTCTGGTGGCCATTAATTATATTGAATTATAC